CAAATCAAAATGCAATCTTATATAGGGTCTCATTAAAAAAAATTAGTTTTGCTTATGATACTTTCTTGAGACACCCAGTATAAGCTAAAATTTACGGGTCGATTCCCCTTGGGCGATTAACTATTTCAAAGCATTGGCAACCCTGAATATACCAGACAACCAAGAACCAAAAGAATTTATCCAGCAACTGATTCGTTATTTTAAGGTTAGGAAACAAATTTAATATAAAGTACTTACCTCAACGTCGGCTTTGTCTTTTAATTGAAGCCTTAGAATCTTATCACTAATTATTTTAGTCTTAAACGACTTAGGAAGTTTTTCCCCATCCATATTTATATTTTTACACAATAGTATGTATATAAAACTCAAAAACAAACACCACAAAACACACTTAACCAAAGAAAGAAGGAAGTTTCTAGAATGCGTGCTGTTGCGCATTTTTCTCTGTAGCACAAATGCTGTTACTGATAACAATTTCGCGGGTCCGAACTTAAACGAAGTTTCTATCCCGCGTGCTGTTACTGTAAATGCTGCCGGGTACAGCTCGCAGAAGATAGTTCTCGCCAATTCACATCTAGCGCTTCGGTCGCGTTGACGTCACTTCGTTCTCTCATAAAAATGCACGTTTGACAGACGACAATTATTTGTCATCACATAAGAAAAGAGTCGTTATCAGTTAATCCAAAAATATTTTTCTCTATTTAATTTATGACTATCGCAGCTTCGAATAGTACGCTTGAAGAAGACATCATTCCTTCTGTTGAGGGTTCTACCCTTGAGTTTTGAGCACGACACTTACCGTCATGTGCGTCAAATTAGGCCGGTTGCATTTAGCACGCGCGCACTCACTTTGTTGCCACAGGTCGTGAGGTACTGCCCGTACTACCGAAAACTTTTTCTCCGCCAGAGCGAACTTCGGTGCACATTCGCGAAATTAAAAGTTTCCCTCAATAAAAGACCCAGATTATAGAATTATCTACCTAAAGTTACCAACATAATACTCCTATTTCCTATGAACTATGATGGAGGATCCCGAACATCTTCCTTGACTGGTTATTAACATTTGACGAAAATATAAGAAACAACAAATTGTCTTGTCCTTGTTGGTATTGGGACAACTCGAAAATTCGTGACAATAATAATATTTTTATTTGGGGTTGTTATACGTTATTAAGTGAGGTTTGATTAAAACTAAATATGCGTTATTCAATTGAAGAAAAAGTAACCATAATTGCAGTGTCTGAAATGTTTCCAGTTTATTTTACTGTTAACACTATTCCTTCGATTTCAACAAGTAAACGTATTATTACCCAATTCGATGAAGAAAGAAGAGTAACATTTTGTTTTAAAATGATGGAAAAAGCGAACAATTAGATAGAGATAAAAAAAAATTGTTTCAGCGATGAATGTACATTCACACTCAACAACCAACCAAATTTCCTCAAAAAATAAATTTTATGTTGAGACTTTGCGGACATATTATTGGACCATTTTTATGGAATATAACCTCACTGTAAAAAAACTATTTGAAATAGCGTCATGAAAAATATTCGCTAGTGCCTGTTGTATTTGGCTTATTAAAATGTATTCAAACTCGGCACATGAGTTAATCATACCGGCCCCTTCAAAAAGTTCTGTTACAACTTTGCTATAAAATATACAGGGGCACTTAAAAATTTACATAAGATTTCCTGTTCGTCCGTGGACGTTTGGGGTGCTTATTATTTGCAATTAAGTTTGCGCTTATTTCAGTGAGGTTCCCTGACTGGCGTCAATGTATTTAATATTCTAATTCTAATTTTGGCTTCTTCAATATTCAAGCTTCAATCGACTTCTATCTTTCCAGTCACAGTACCGCATATGTAAAACTGCTAAAAGCTAAAAGATAAATAAAAGAAGAAACATAATATAGAGAACGTAGTTTAACTTGTTTTTTGCCTGATTTCGACATATTTTGACAAAATACTGCCTTAAAAATGCCGCATCCAAACATTGACCCGCATAGTCTTATGGGTCATTGGTTAAAAACGAGATTTTAAATCTCGCGCAAGCGCGCGTTGCTTTATGAGTTCCTGTACTGTCACTTCCATTGTCAAAATCACCGTTTTTTTACGAAAATCGCGGCTTTTTCCATTTTTCTGTTGTACTACTTGTTCCCAGTTCCAGATCTTCAGAGGCCATCGTTCGTCTGGCATACTTTTTAAATGACCATATCAATTTAGACGTCGACCTTTGATAGTATTAATCATATTTGTATTCACCTCATTTGCTCTTTGACGTGTTGGTTCTCACCTTTTCCATTTTTCACAGGCTACAGCTGCGTCGTCAAAAATCCATTTCCAAAGTCTTCTCGTAGTCATTTCCCAAATTTCTGCACCATAGAGTGTTATACTTCAACTTATTGCCTTAAATATACTCCTTCTCACACAATTTGTGATATTCTTATCACACACTACTTTGTGGAATGCCTAAGTTGCTTCCACCCCCATTTGAAACGATTCTTCCCAGATACTTAATAAATTTCATATACTTCTACCTCCTACCACCGGTTTTATTCGTTCGAAATTATTTTAGCTTCAACAAAAAATATACTTTGACATTCGGAATCGGTGTTTATTGTATTCCGTTGAGAGACCTCCAACACCTAAAAATTGTATAATTACAAGTTGCATGTGACTATTGCAAACGAGCCAGCCAGCACGGGGTCAGTATGTCACTAACGTTAAGCACGCAGAAGCGAGGGGCCCACCTTATAATTGTAACCGTTAATTATTCACCCTCACAGAAAAAAAATAACCTGTCATTCAAAGGGGTAGTAAATCTCCCGATAACGTCCCCGCGTATGAGTGTCTAGCAATTAAATAAAACTGGGTACATGTATGTCCGAGTCCTAATTATAAACAGGACGCCGGGTCGGCCATTGGGCGAAATTTTGTTTTCCTTTCGTGATTACTCGATCAATACCGAGGGTTTTACTGTACACCGTTACGTGTGGCTGTATACACATGCACGCTCACAGCTCGTTGCCGTCGACGTTAATATTGATTAGGGGATTGCGTTAATTGCGGGATGGTGGAGATAAACAACTCACTTTTTTGAGTGAATATCAAGGGGGTAAGCTTTTTTTAAACCGTCAAGCGACCCCTGAGTTAAGCTTAAAATACTTTGGATGGGGACCTTTACCAAACTCCACTGGAATTCTAATTCTTTGTCGTTCTCTATAACCTCATCTATCTGTTGCCGCACTATTAATTACGATATCGATATTAAAGACGATCTTATCCCGGTAATAATTGGCGTCAAAGGATTAATCTTGGCAGGAAACTTCTCGATGATTTAATCCAGACTCGTCGGTTTTGCAGCAAAATGGGTTTGCAATATCTGAAGTGACTTGTTGACATTGAACAGGTAGAACTGATTCGTGCAAAAATCATAGCCATTATCTTCGTTGTTACTTGAGATGACTCGAACAAAGTCAGCAGACTTAGAGATTACACGATCCCATAGGCGCATAGTTAAGTTGAATTGTGGCATACGTGTTAAGTCACCTTAATAACGATGCTCGTACGTCTATTCTATGATCGTATTCCGACTTGACATCAATATATTTGACCTTTGCTAGGGTGTGTGGAGATGAAGACAAAATGGTGAGAAAAAACTTGAACAGTTTAAATTATAAATCCTTGTTTTGTTATGGTAAACTGACATGGTGCTGCCGGATAAAGGCATAAAAAAGATAGCAGTACAGTAAAAAAAACATTGTAGGTAGAGTTCTGGAGTTTCGAGTGCGTCGCTTTAATGAACGATTTTCGCAAGTCCCTGCTAAGTTTCAAGCTCATTTTAAACCGGAAGAGAAAGACACAGTCAACAAGCACCTGTTTGATACTAGGAAGCAACAGGAAGCTATTGTTACCGATCTACAACTATGGTACATTACAAGATAGTCTCATTAGAGATCAAATAGTATGCAGTATTCGAGACGACAAGTTTAGAACGGCTTTGACTCAGTTAGTTTTCAAGTTAGAAGTCAGTGACGTATAAGCAGTACAAAGCAAAAAGGTATGGCAGAATAAGAATAACTTAGGCGGTAAAAAAGAAGGCTCTAGGCGGAAGCAAACGAGTCCAGCGTACAGACAAAAATTCTTGAGACGTTAACATATTGACAAAAAAGGTAGTGAATAATCTGCGATTTAAAATAAGGTCATCTAAATTCAAGTTGAAAGCTATAATGGGATAGAAATAAATGTCTTAAGCAAGGCTGTGGCAACATGCCAAATTAAAAGCAAATATGCTAAAGCGGATTTTCAAATAGTAGATGGTGATGCAACATGTATTATAGGATTACCATTTATTAAAGAGTTTGGTTTGCTCAGGAAGGTGGATGCAATGATAACTGAAGATAATTTAAGCGGCTTCCTAGAAAAATACAAGTTCCTTTTTGTTTATTATATTAGTTTATTTGTGAACGCGTGACTTAGAAAGTTCACCAAATGTGCTGCATACCTACTGTACTTTTTCTAAAACCGCAAACACCACGATACATTAACTGACATGACCGTCAGAATTGACAAACGTCAAAAGTCAGGCCGTGCGGTAAAATCTCCGAAAACATCCGATTCCATTTAAACCCGTGTGGTAATATCCAGGAAATGTCCAAAGTGGCTCGGATCCGTGGGATAAGAGAAGTCCGAAACTTAGAATATTATTCAACAAGTGTGGTAAACAGCATTAGTTTTTGAAAACATTTTTTCACTGACATGAGCGTCAGAATTGACAAACGTCAAAATTCAAACCGTGAGGTAAAATCTCCGAAATCATCAAACTGACGTGATAAAATGACACTTTCTGTACAGTATAATTAGGTATTTTACAGAAGGGAGTAAAGAAACAATATATTCAGACCACAAGTTTAAATTCGGCGCCGCAGATGTCGCTTTTCCGTTTTTATTTACTTGTTACCACGGCAACGCGGTATCGATCAAACGCTGTGGTATTAGGGAGTCGCGAGAGTGAAAACGCGAAATGCCGATAGTCATAACCGATTTCCAGTGGAAACAAACAGATCGGAATATTATTGTAACGGTACCTTTGAGGGGTGTACATCCGTCCAAAGCCGACATACTCGTTTCGTCCCGTTATGTCAAGGTCTCGTTCAGCCCCTTCATTTCCGAAATACTGCTTTTGAATCCCATCGAAACGTCGCGTAGCAAAACCACAAAGACATCCTCCGAAATTGTGTTCGAGTTGGAAAAACGTGACGAGGGATCGTGGCCTAGTCTAGAAGTGAACCTGCCCAAGGCCGAAAAGCTCGCCCTCAAAAATCAATCCATCGAAGAACATTTCGAAAGCATCAGAGAAGCGTGCGAAGCTAGACGAATTCAAAAAGCGACTCTAAAAAAACTCGCAGTAAGCGAACAGATCGAACTAGATAGCCGGACGCGAAATAGAATAGAAGAAAAGAAGAAGAACGAAGAGGAAGCGGCTCTAGGAGACCTGAACCGCTGGAAGAAACATCTGGAGCGTGCGTCGAGCAGAAAAGATAAGGAAAAAGTCGTTCCTAAACCGCGTTCGACTCGATCGCTACAGGTATTATTTTCCGAACGGGAGTTCCCCACTCCCTCTAGGGAATCGCTACTGGAAGAAGAAGCTGAATTTTTGCGCAAGCAAGCGGAAGCGAAAAGATCCGCAGGGTTCGTGCAAGAAGATTTGCGACCTGAAGAGAAAAATCCGCAGTACTTGCTGGCGAAAGGAAAAGAGTTTTTGAGTAGTGGTAATTTTTTAGGGGCCATCAGTGCGTTTACGTTCGGAATGAAACTCAGCCCTAAGTTTATTGAATTATACGTGGCTAGATCTGAAGCGCATCTAATGGCTGGCAATTATTGCAGAGCTGTGGATGATTGTTCAAACGCTTTGGAGTTGCTGAAACCGGCATTGCCCGTCAATTTGGTGGCAAGGGCTTTATGTATCGGTAGACGAGGCGTCGCCCTGTGCAAATTGGGATTACTTAAGCAAGGCTTAACTGAGTTTGAAGCCAGTTTGAGGTTGAAGCCCAACTCTGAGTTCGAAGCTGCTCTAGAAGAAACGAGGAGAAAACTGGAGGAAGCGAATTGTCAATGAGGGGGTTTAGTGGACCGCATTGGCAACTAATATGCTAAAAATGGTTCTTCAAGAGTTTGAAGGTCGCTTATTTTTGTACCCATCTAATTACAAATTTATTTTAAATTAAATTGGTTAAAGTTCCAAAAAATGCTAAGTGCACTTGAAATCAATTGCAATTTTTTGATGTCATATTGGTAGCTAATTTTGAATATTTTTTATTTGGATCTTGTACAAACTACGTAAATTAGGCTAGCATTTGTTTATACCTGCGTACAAAGATTCTAGAAAAAAGAAATTAGTTTTAATATTATGGTTATTGTTTTCATAGAAAATCGAATCTTGAGATCAAGTTTTCTAATATTTGCTATTTATAGTCACAGTAAAGTGCAAGATGTTGCATGTACAAAAGGTTTTTATCAATAATAAATTTCCGCATATTGTCCTAATCATCGTTGGATTGAATTCCTGAAACCAAAACATGGCGGTTTACTGCTTAGAAGAAGTAATATTATTTTTTGATGTTAACCAAAAACCCTGGAAATTGGTGTAAGACAGTGCATATTGCATACAAGAAGTTAAAAGAGAGAGGTTTCGGTAGAGAAGCTCACTCATATATCTCATATATACCCTACTACATATGATTCGTAAATAGAGTAAAATACATCAGATGCAACTTTTCAAAAATATACACGGCGTTTTCTAATTTAATGGTCGTATGAAGGCCGCCTGTAAAATACCTAATTACACGCCAATCTAGCGTGCGGGAAGCGTCACTTTACCGCGTCAGTTTCGTTTCCCACTGATCTGAGTCACTTCGGACATTTCCGAGATTTTACCGCACGGGTTTGGGGGCAATCGGATGTTTTCGGTGATATTTCCCACGCTTTGAATTTTGACATTTGTCAATTCTGACAGCTATGTCAGTGAATGTATTCGTGTTGTTTTGCTAAAGTGTACCCAAAAAGTATAGTGTAGCGTAGAAAAAGTATAGTGTGCAACCCGTTCGGTAAACTTTTTAAGTCACTCGTTTATTAAACACTCGAACACTCGCTCGGCTCGTGTCAAATGAACCGTTTACCGCACTTGTTGCATAATATACTATTAATGACATTTGGTTACGGATGATATGAGTCTTGCGGCAATTTTCAAATTATTCATTTTTTTTTATTTCCATCAGTGGCGTTCGTGTGAAATTTGATCCGCATATAGGGACCGACATTGATGTTTTATCTGGTAGCTACGGGCAAATGAAAGATCTGTCAAAATTACAACCCAAAAATCGATTTGACCACTTCATCGCTCTTCCAAAAAAAAAAAATAGGAAAAAAGACAAAGCGGTTTCGCGTACGATACGCGATAGAGCGGCGTGTCATTTTCCGCCTCCGACAAAGTCACAACAAACACCAAGGGCTGCAGTTTACGCAAAAAGCAACTACGTAATCGACGCCCATTCAAATAAAGTAAATAAATTATAGTATTTACCGCGGCGGCAAATTAACGATTGCACGGCGGGCAATTTAACTTCTCGCCTCCCCGCCCCCGCCACCCCCCGGCGGCCCCCTCCTCCGGACTCTATTGGGAAAATTGCAGCAGCCTATGCAAACAGCACTCGCTTAATGTACAAACCCGATGCTAATTCCGTGGAGCTTAAACAGTTCGGACTTATTCGCGTGACGACTGTACATTGTAATTTTCCTCAGCGGATTTATCGCCTCTCGTCTGTGATACCATTATAGCGCCCTTAGTTCGAGCCGGGGGGGGGGGGGTGAGCGGGCTTAAACGCGATTTAATAGAAAAATTAGTCGATACTTGTTCGCGGGTAACGATAAGAACGGTTCGTGTGAAGGTAGGGGAAACGTTGAGATTCGACAAGTAGTTTTCGGAGTTTGAGGAGCGTTTGTATATAATGCGACGTGTCTTATAACTTAATTTCGAGGTCTGGTCTGGTTTTGACTAAACTGTGGATAATTACGTACAAATTTAAATGAACCCTTTATAAAAAATAACAAACAACTTTTTGCTGATAAGATCCAGTTTACTAGTCATACGATGTCTACCAGAGGACGGAATTAATTTTCCATTGCTAGTCATATCTTCACTTTATTTGAAAAAACACCAAAATATGCTATCAGAAGTTATAATGCACTCCTCGATAATATTAAAAATAAAAATAAAATTAAAAAAAAATCAAAAGATTGCTTTGTAAATAATTGTTTTTATAGCATTTTAAGAATATCTTAATAAAGAATAGTAGTATTGTAAGGATTTATACTATTTTTTATTGTGAATGTTTTTTGTCTTGAACTAATCATCTAATGAAGTAAATTTTGTCCTTGTAAGTTTTATATTATGTTACTGTATTGTGTGGAATATGTATGTTGTCGCCAAATGTTATATACATTTTTACTGTACGTCTTCACATTGTTACATCCTCTGTGTAGGATTATATAACAAAATAAATAAGAACTAAAAGTTCAGATTTTCACGAAATTATATATATTCCCATTGCAATTGTTTCGACAACACCTTGTCTTTATCAAATGTAACTACCTAACTTTAATTAATGTTGTTGTGAGAATTTTAATAATGGAGAGCTATTTAAATGGACCGTTAAGCTATACATTTGAATGTCTCATTTTGTTAATCTCCATGGCTTCCAATAAATTTAATTTTCTACTTTTTGTGGCTGTGTGTAATACATCACAATTTTCGTCAAAAATGTGTTTTACTGTGTTTAAGTGTGTAGCATAATTAGAATCTAGACTATTGTTTTTAAACGCTCTTATATGTTCGTTAGTGCGTTTCTTGAAGGATCTACCTGTTTGTCCAATATAAATTTTAGGACAAGATCCACATTTCAACCTGTAGACACCTGATTTTTGGGATTTTGAACATTTCGTTTTATTGTTTTTTAAATATTTTCCTATTGTGTTGTTAGTTCTGAAAGCTATTTTTAAACCACATTTTGACTAATGTTTTGAAACTTTTTCACTAGGTTCTCCTATGTATGTAATTGTTTTAAATTGTTCGTGTTCTATATTAGGTTTGGAGTTTACTGTTGTCTTTATTTGTTTTTTATTTATAATTTTATCGTTAATGGACGGATTGTTTCCATTGTTCAGTGCAATTTGTTTAATGATATTAAGTTTTTTGTTGTAATTTTCTGTTGAGAGTGGCGTATTCAGAAATCTGTGCATAAAAGAGTTAAATGCAGCCATTGTATAAGGGTGATTTCAGTTGTTATGTATGACTGTGTCCGTGTGTGAAAGTTTATGGTAAATGAAAAAATCAAATTTGTTTTGCGTTTTCCTAATAGCTAAGTCTAAAAAATTAATAGAGTTATCCTGTTCAATTTCGATAGTCCGTTCCAACAAATCAAGCAAAGACATAATCCACGTATCTATACCACCAAAGAAAACTCTTACTTAAAGGATGTTCTTGTATGATATTTTCCAAATTATCCATAAATTAATTAATTAATTAAATTCAAAATAATTTTGGTCTAAAGATACTATTAAGCAATCTAATAAATTATTCTTTCACCAAGGGGTTAACCTATTTTCCAGTGAGGGTGAATTCTGCAAAATCTATCACATCCATAGGTGGAATATTGGGAAATAAGTTTTGTACATCAAAAGACAATAGTGTTTCGTTAGAAGGGATTTTGATATCATTAATTTTGTTGATTAATTGAAAAGATTTTTTTATTGCAAATTTTGGTTTAAAATCTGTGTGCTATTCTAAACCAAATTGCTGGAGCCGTTACATAAGACACGACTGGTCTAATGGGCATATCTTGTCTATTAAATTAATTTAACTAAAGAATATAATTTCGGAGGTTGCGGATTCATAATTGTTAATAAATACTTGTCTTTGTCACTAAATAGTGTGAAGTTAGTAATTACTTCCTTGATTTGTCTTTGATATAATTCGGTAGGATCGTGTTTGATACATTGGAAAAGTTCTGGTTTAAGAAAATTGTGGTTTTTAGTTCCAATTTGAAAAACAATAGTCTATATTCCAATTATGCTACACACATAAACCCAGAAAAACACACTTTTGACGACAATTTTGATATTTTACTCACAGCCACAAAAAATAGAAAATTAAATTTATTGGAAACCAAAATGAGACATTCAAATGTATTGCTTAACGATCAATTAAACTTTCATTCTCACAACAACATTCTTTAAGATTTTATTGTCATTTTTCGGTATATATAGTAGCAGGTACTTTGTAAATATTACATTTGATAAGGACACGGCGTTGTCGAAATAATATATAATTTCCTGAAAATCTGAACTTTTAGTTCTTATTTATTTTGTCAAGTAAAAGCCACCTCAGTTCGATTATATAACAATAAAGAATTTTTATTCTATTTTTCCATTCTATTTTATTCTATTCTTTTTCTTTTTTATGAATAGAAAATTGTAACTAATTATTGTAGTAAAATCTTCAAAAATTCATAAATAAAAATTCTTTTCGTGTTTGGGTTCCTTTATTTCTAAAGCTCCAGTTTCCTTGCATACGATGGGGAATAGTTTCAAATTCTTTGTGATCATCGATCTTCTGACCTTCTTCTGTTGTGCCCACGAATAGTATCTTCATCTTCTTTGTTTTTTCGTCATCGTCGCTTGTTTCCATTTGCCATTTTGTTAGTATTACTCAACAATAATGTTTGAAATTTAACATAACGTGACATAAATTGAATAATGTTTCGTTAATTTATGTTGCTGTTTATTGTATTTGAATATGTCTCTAATCTCTTAAATACTTTGAACAAGTAACGCTCGTATTTATTGGGGGGCAACATTGATAATTATTTAAATATGTTGAATTAATAATTTGAAGAATTCAAAAATATTTCAAAATTCATAATCTGTAAAATTCTTATAAAATTCAAAATCGCAGTATGAAATCGATGAAATATGAAAAGGATTTTTCCGAATATGAGAAAATATTTTTTTAGCCATTATTAATTATTATTAAATTTTTAAACACATTTTGTTAAAAATATTTTTCATATATTTTATGAATTCAAAATTAAAAAGTTTTTGCTATGTTTCTCGACCTTTTCAAGGTCTTGCATGGACCTGGCGTAGACATAACACCTTGGAAATTATTTTAAAGTTATCGTACGGTAAGAATACAGAAAAAAAAATAATACTTATAGCTTAAAAAAAAAACATTTCCTGCGGTGTTCCCCAGGGTTCATTTTTTTCTGCAGTTTACCACCCGGAAATAATCCATCTGCTTACCTAGTGTCGCTGAGATCAAAACTAACTAACCAGAACCTTAAAGTACAATAAAAACAAAATGTTATTTATTATTTAAAAATTAAAACCATTAAATTGGATTAATATTGGGACCTCACACCTCACAAATTGGGGCTAGTGCCATCATCTCATGTGACGTGTTAACCATTGAGTCGGCAACAGTTTTGGCCTATTTGAGATCCGGGTAGTGCCCTAAATGACACACCGCGATAACACGATGTATATTCGGATGATTAATTTCGTCTCCGACGCAAGAAACCTCGTTTTAAACTATGTTCCCCCGTGGGACGCGGATGCGAATTTCCACGGGAATAATAAAGTGATGAAGAGTCATATTTCAAATAGTTTTAACGAGATATTTTATACGATCCTGACATACATATAACGCTGGATTTACGACTGACCGTCGAGAAAGCGTAAGCAAGTGTTTGGACGTCATAACTCAGTTAAATTTGTCGCACTAGCAAAACGTTGAAACGCTGAAATGAGAAGACCCTTTCGACCTGAATTTAACGACAAACTTTCCGCAACAATTCAATCCACACGTCCTCCATTCCGTCTCTTTATCTCTCTGTTTCTCTAGTATTTATCTATCTCTCTTCGATGTAGGTTCTTCAATAGCTCGTTCCATTTTTAGGGTCCTTAAATCCGCTGCAGCATCCCAATACTAGGTTATGTAGCGGTAGTAGCTTTTTCATTATTCTTTGCAAGATGTCGGCCATAAATTTTCGATTGGCTCACTTCTCATGCCAACCAGAAATTGGTTATTCTACATACGCAGTCAATCGACCAAATAGATATACTTTATCTTTATTTAAATTTGTGAACAATTTGTTAAGCAAAACTTAAGCACTGAGACAAATATCTATTTACAAAAATTACGTTGACACATCTTTATAAAATTCAATTAAATAATCTCGTGCTGAGTAGTAGCCGTTGCCTCGTCGCTGTTCGCTTGCTCTTGATTTTCATTTCAAATATTTTTCAGAGGCAGAAATTTTATTTTGTTATTCAAAGGAGAAAGCGTTGACGGAGATGCTTGGGCACTTTGAAAGTTTTGTATGGAACTGTAACAGGGTCGTTTGCGCTCCGAGTGAGATAGAAACTAAATATTCTTGTTCTTTATAGCAGCAGCTTTGAGAAATGTTCACTTGGAGTGATACTGTTTTTGCTTTATGGGCGTTGGTCTTGGGTAGTCAGGTCATCTGTTTTATAAATGTTTTTAGAAACCTATCAATCTATAGCAGAGAATATTTTTACATTAAGCAGGTCGAGTTCGGTGATTAAAAATATTATGCCGATATTCCAGATTGTCATAATTTCCATTGCCTGTCAATTTCGTCAAGCCGCATTGAGTGTTTCTTAGCAAGCCTGGAATATTGCAAAGAATCGGAGTTGATCGTGACCTAATACCGCCATTTTCAGCGGTCAGTTTAGAATCAGCCAAATTCCTTCATCCCAACTTTATGAGAGCTTTTGTTAGCAATTGCGTATTTTCAACGGCAATATTATTTAAATAAAATTACAGCAGTAATTTCATCAAATCAGCAAAATACTGATAAAGAAATTTAAATTCATGAACTTTTATTAGGCCATGTAAATTATTCAAATTGGACCCAAATCAATATCAGATACTGAAAGTACATTGGGAATGTTGGTTGACTTACAGTAAAGATATTTCGGTCTTATATTTACTGTCCAATATTGGACCAATAAATGAGGTACTGGGATGCGTTAGATTATAAAGATAATAATAGACTATAAAAATAATCAATATATTTTAGTTGAAAGATTATTCATCGAGTTCGTGTAATAGCTAGCTAGTTTCTGATCTAATCACTAACACTGTAAACCAAATCCAGTTTTGTTTTAATTTTTATATGCTTCTTCTTCTACAACATTATGTTAATTTCGTTATTAAGAAAAAAACGTCAACGTAAGTCAAACTAACGAAAACTAAACCAATTTTTTTTATTATTTACGATAATAATAACGCCATTCGCACGTACTTCGCTGTAAATTCCACCATTCGATGAAACAAATAAGTCTGAGTGGAGCCTCATGCGAAATAGTAAACTGATAAAGATACATTTTGCTGGCTTCGCGGCGTTCAAAGGAAATCTCATATCGGGTTTTCATATAAAGAGGGCAGCGAACCGACAGCGTCTAGCGGAGAAAGGTTGCATTCGATGCCGCCCACACGATACCAGAGCGTAAAAATTCCAAGATTCAAGATGTCGTCGCGTCGGTCGCAGAACGTAACGTTCCTGAAAGACATTTCCGGAACGTCCGGCGATAAAACGTTTGCATACGAATTAAGCTGGGCCCTTGTGGAATGTCGGGAAAATAAATTTTCGTCTCCACAACCAAATTAACGGGAGAGCTGGAAAAACGGGCTATGTCTCGTAGGGTTGCGGGTCTGATCTGATCGTTTAAATTGTATTGCCTGTATTAATACCCCAGGGCTCAACATTTTAGTGGCAGGTGTGGGTTAAATGCTTGTTTTTAATTAATAATAATCTTTACTCTTCACTTTTATTACTACCATTATTTGCCGCGATTTCTTACCTTTAATTTGCTGCCACCTTAACAATATCCAATGATTTTTCATTATTTACATTAGCATTTTTTACATCTTACATGATACTATATGTTTAAGACTTTGTTGAAAATATCCTCCCATGCTCCCAAACCCGTGCGGTAATATCCAGGAAATCTCCGAAGTGGCTCAGATGCGTGGAATTAGACACTGAAGTGGTAAGGTGACGCAATATACTGACAGACCATAACACCCACCAAGAGTCGCTGCTCGATTAAATCCTCAAAAAATATGATTTAGCAATATTTGCTTAAGAAATAAGTAATACTATAAAATTGATGCTCCTCAAAACAGCTGCGGCATTTTCCTATATGCCTACCTGCACTTTGCGCAATTTGGTTTCTTAACAGGAGTCTCCAAAGCATTAAATTGTATTTTTTTTTTTTGAAAATTGAATGCGCCGTCCTAGCATTTTATCATATTGGCTCAAAAAGTTTTGTCGGTACAAGCACGGCATATATCTAGCAGCAATATGGTCTAACCCCACACCTGCCACCAAAGTGTTTCACTTTTTAGGTGTTAATTTCTCCTTTTGCTTGTTAGGTAAGTTTAAAAAAATTGTAGATTTTCTTAGAAACCCTTAATTCTAAAATGTTTTTCAAACATACGTATTTGTTAAATTTTGCTATTTTATTGTGAGTGACATAATATAATTTATAACAATATAATAATTTATGCTATTTAATAATTTAAATATATTTTTAGGATATTGTGTTTTTCTAGGGTACAATTAGACCCTAATATTCCAACCTCGGATCTATAATAAAAAAGAAGCTCATACAGGGTGTTTTCTAATTGAATGTCTATAATTAAGAGAGCAACTTTTAGGTCCATTTTAAAAAGAAAACTTCATATGAACATATGTTCTAAACGTCTTAACTTTTGAGATACAGGGTGGTAAAGTTTTCAAAAATATTTTTTTTATTATTTGTGATACCAATTTAGATATTTTAATGAAATATCAAGTGTACTATGTATTTAGTGCAGCGATTTTTTATTAAATACACCAGTGGCGTACGAAATTTCACGTGGCCATTTTGGCAGACATTGATTGATTGCATGGTCATAAAAATATCGTTAATATGACATTTCCAAATGTACATAGAAGGTTGACTGAAACAGGTGCTTCGGGGGCAACTAAAGGGGCTCTTCGGACTGTAAGAACTCCAAAAATTGAAGAAGCAGTTTTAAATTCTATTAATGAAAATCCTAAACTTAGTGCTAGAAAAATTGGAAATATTCTGAACATCTCGCAGGTCTTGGTTTGGTCCCTTGAGTGGTAATTTTTGTCAATGGTTTTTGAACAAAATTTCGCATTTGACCAGAAAATACTATTTACAGATGAAGCTAACTTTTCCAGAAATGTAATCAGAAATTTCCACGATAACCATATTTGGGTGGATGGAAACCCCCAATGCAGTTGTAGAATTTAAACATCAAAAACAATTTTCGGTAAAC